GTACGTTAGTGTTAAATTATTAAAATAAAATGTAAATACATAATTGAGTGGAGCTCATGTATTAATAAGGGTAAAATTATAATTTGCTTCTAAAATTAAAGTTGAAACTGGAAAAAACTAGAAATCCTAACTTTTGCGGTTGGTTTGAAACCACCGTTTCTACCACAATTTTTTTTTCATTTTCACCAGTTTTTTTCATTTTTCACAGTTTTTTTATATTGATGAAACAGTTTTTTTATAATCTAAAAGTGATTTTAAAAAGTGACGTCAAGGGACCGAAATATTGGAGCGGTCACCGGCAGGCAATTTGATGAGTTATTTTCTTTTCTCTTAACCTTCATGTGTTTCACGTTAATTCTATCTTTTTAATATTCTAGTTGTATATGAGTGATTAAAGAAGCATAAGTTGAATATCAGCAGAGACGCTAAGCATTGCTTGCCCTCTAATCAAAGTTGGATGCATGCCACTTTTATAACAGATAAAGCAAAGTAAAATGTCAGAAGAATCTGTGGCTTGTATGTATGTATGTATGTATGTATGTATGTATGTATGTATGTATGTATGTATGTATGTATGTATGCATGCATGCATGCATGCATGCATGCATGCATGCATGCATGTATGTATGTATGTGTGTGTGTGTGTGTGTGTGTGTGTGTGTGTGTGTGTGTGTGTGTGTGTGTGTTGTGTATGTATGTATGTATGTATGTATGTATGTATGTATGTATGTATGTATGTATGTATGTATGTATGTATGCATGCATGCATGCATGTATGTATGTATGTATGTATGTATGTATGTGTATGTATGTATGTATGTATGTATGTATGTATGTATGTATGTATGTATGTATGTATGTATGTATGTATGTATGTATGCATGCATGCATGCATGCATGCATGCATGCATGCGTGCGTGCGTGCGTGCGTGCGTGCGTGCGTGCGTGCGTGCGTGCGTGCGTGTGTGTGTGTGTGTGTGTGTGTGTGTGTGTGTGTGTGTGTGTGTGTGTGTGTGTGTGTGTGTGTGTGTGTGTGTGTGTGTGTGTGTGTGTGTGTGTGTGTATGTATGTATGTATGTATGTATGTATGTATGTATGTATGTATGTATGTATGTATGTATGTATGTATGTATGCATGCATGCATGTATGTATGTATGTATGTATGTATGTATGTATGTATGTATGTATGTATGATACATGTATGTATGTATGTATGTATGTATGTATGTGTATGTATGTATATGTATGTATGTATGTATGTATGTATGTATGTATGTATGTATGTATGTATGTATGTATGTATGTATGTATGTATGTATGTATGTATGTATGTATGTATGTATGTATATGTATGTATGTATGTATGTATGTATGTATGTATGTATGTATGTATGTATGTATGTATGTATGTATGTATGTATGTATGTATGTATGTATGTATGTATGTATGTATGTATGTATGTATGTATGTATGTATGTATGTATGTATGTATGTATGTATGTATGTATGTATGTATGTATGTATGTATGTATGTATGTATGTATGTATGTATGTATGTATGTATGTATGTATGTATGTATGTATGTATGTAGTATGTATGTATGTATGTATGTATGTATGTATGTATGTATGTTGTATGTATGTATGTATGTATGTATGTATGTATGTATGTATGTATGTATGTATGTATGTATGTATGTATGTATGTATGTATGTATGTATGTATGTATGTATGTATGTATGTATGTATGTATGTATGTATGTATGTATGTATGTATGTATGTATGTATCCAACACGTGTCCAGACTGCATTCGTATGTCAGAGGTTGCAGAACCATATATACGTAGAAGGGCCGTGAGGCATTTGGAGAAAGGGAGGGTCGTCATTTTTGCTGCTGGAACTGGTAATCCGTTCTTCACCACTGACACTGCCGCAGCGCTTCGCTGTGCAGAAAGTGAGTCATTTTTCCCTCCATCCGAATGCATACTAACAGATTAGGGGGAATACAGTATCCGGGGTTGGGGGCAAATTATCCGCTCCATTGTCACTTTTTAAGCATATTATATAAACCCTACCCCTAGGAATATAATTTTATTGTCTATTTGTTTTCCCAGTCAATGCAGAAGTTGTGTTGAAGGCCACAAATGTAGATGGGGTATACGATGATGATCCTAGGCGTAATCCAAATGCCCGGCTTCATGACACACTGACTTATCATGAGGTGACTTCAAAGATCTCTCGGTGATGGACATGACTGCCATTACTCTGTGCCAAGAAAATAACATTCCCGGTTCGTTCAAACGTCTGTAATCTGTTTTTGAGTTAACCCAACAAGCAACAGCTGAAGGAAGTAGCTATTTATCTGAAGTATCTTTCCGTCAATGCAGTTGTTGTCTTCAACTTAACAAAAGCGGGGAACATCGCAAAAGCAATTAAGGGGGAGAGTGTCGGTACATTGATCGGCGGAACATGGAATTCAACAGTGGCAACGGCATGA